GGGGGGGGGGGGGCGACCCCTCAATTTCTCCTTAAACCCCCCCCCACCGACCCCCGAGTGCACAGATCAGGAGACAGGCCGGCTCCTCGTGTACGTACTGGGCTAGCTACCCCGCTACGTGTTTGATGAGCGTGGAACACAGCGTTAATGTTTAAGAAAAAAAAACCTATCGTTTATTTGAATATATATATTTATATATATATATATGCATTCTGACTTTGAATAAATAAAATATCATGAATATACAGCGTCAGTCCAGTGATGTGTCCAACCGTTTACACAGGTCCGTTATATAAAAAAACCATAGATGTGAGTCATTTTCTAAGGATGTTTATTCTTCGTAGCGGCTGATATAGTTCTACCTACTGTACGTACTGTACCTTTAATAAAAATCGTCTAGTTGCGCTAAAAGTTCATCAAGGCCAGAAAATATGTATGGCTGCCCCCTATATGTACATGACCAAATGACACATTACATTTACATGGTGTATATGCACATACCTGAGCACAACTCAATCACGCAGTTCATCTACTGGGAATCCAGGTTTGATCCATGAAAAGGAAAAACAGAACGGCCTACGAGCGGGAATGCAGTAGAATCAGAGTTCTGGAAATCAGTCGAGTGGAAGGCAGTGAGAGTCGTATGAAAAAAAAGAAAAAAAAACCCCAAGCAAAAATATCTAGATCGGTTCAGTCAGTTCAGCTTTAGTGGCCCTTAGGAACTGTCCAGTACACACACACACACACACACACACACACACATACACACACAGGTTAGGGCCTTAAATTGTAAGGAACAAAAGCACAGTTGTGTGTTGACAGTGTTCGTAGAAGAGGTGCCCCCCCCCCCCCCCCATCTTCAGTCCCACATCCACCAGAGTGACTTGAAGAAGACTTGTAGTCCGACCTGCGGCATCGAGTCTGTAAAAACACTCCTGGACTTGTGTATGTGTGTATACGTGTATGAGTGTGTGTGAGAGAGAGAGAGAGAGAGAGGGAGAGAGAGGCAGAAAGGGAGGGGGTGGAGGTGGGAGTCACAGGCCTGATCAGTCTCCTCTACTGTCAGTTTGGCGGCTCGGTGGCGCAGCGGCTGACTCCGCGGCTCCCTGCTCCGGGTTCTCCTCCGTGGCTCTAGCGCCTCTAGTGTTCAGCTCCCGCTCCTTCCCTTCACCCGGGGTGTAATAATGTTCCACCCGGGGCTGAGCCGCGCGGGGGCCCGGGTGGCCGTAGGGTGACGCGTGCGGCGCGTCTTTATTCTGCCGCGAGTGCGCAACGTCTGCGCCGGTGCTCTGCCCCCGGTGGTCCCGCTGAAAACCTCTGCTCCGGTTCACAGATAAATCCGCCGTCTGCGTGGAGTTCCACTCTGACACGTTGCTGCTGCTGTTGCTGCTGCTGGAAATGTCAGAGATGTTTGCCGTGGGGGTGACCCCCTCATTCAACCCCGGCCTCCCCGCAGAGGAGGAAGAGGAGGAGGAAGAGGAGGCGCTGGTGGGTTTCCAGATGAGGCTGTAGTAAATGGCCAGGATAATGGCTGCTAAGGACACGGACAACACATAGGCAAAAACAGTGGCCAGTCTCACCCACTTCTTGTTGGTCTTAGCAGCCATCTTAGCCTTTTTGTCCCCCGTGTAGGTGGCAGGTTTGCCCCTCTCCATGTTGGGCATGAAGTCCCGCTCTCTCATGTTGCCCCTGTTTTTCCCTCGATGCTCCACCACCCCCTCCGTCTTGAAGGCTTCTTGTTATCCACAGTCCAGGAGAAGAGGAGAGGAGGCTGAGGGCTGATGATGAGAGGGATGATGAGGATGATGAGGATGATGAGGATGATGAGGATGAGGATGATGCTGGTCCACCTTGAACCGTCCGCACCGCACAGGTATTTTGCAGCCGACTGGACTGGACTGGACTGGACTGGCGGTGAATTCACGGGCTGTCAGAACCGCCTCGCCTCACTCTCACCACTGCGTTTCATAACGGACCTCCAGCATCCAGCGGACTGAGGGGCGACTTTCAGCATCCGACGGCGGCGACGGGACCCGCGGATCCCTCGCACTGCATTTCCGAGCGACGGCTGACGGTGGCGCAGGCCTTCGGAGAATCCGCAGTGTGAGATTTGATGTCATTTATTAAGAAAATGTAGTGAGATCACGGCCCGCGGTCCACAGCTGCCCGTCTCCGCCAGCGAATGAAGCGGCTGGCTCAGCTAAAAATACAGGAGAGGGGGCGGGCGGTGGCTCTTAAAGAAGCAGCTCTCTCTCTCTCTCTCTCTCTCTCTCTCTCTCTCTCTCTCTCTCACTCACACACACACACACACTAGGTCTCAGGGTAACACCGTGCATTCCCCAACACCTTCCAAAAACCCCCAACGGTCCCAAATAAAGTTGTTGAATTTCTCACCAATGACGTCGACCTTCATTTGACTCGGATCGTGTTTATAAAGTACTCGATCTGCATCAAAACAACACAGTACAGCTGCACGTGTACTAGTATTTTGTGTACAGTGTTTACTTTATGGTTAAGTTCATTATTATTATTATTATTATTATTATTATTATTATTATTATTATTATTATTATTATTATTACTGTTGTCCACGACACCTGGTCCACATATATATCGATATATTGTGTATCGCGGATGTGTGTCTGTTTAGCTTTTTAACGATCTAATGATCACCTGGTTTCAGCACAATGGACAGCGACACCTCTCCTGTACTCTGCTGTGCAGTACAGTACAGTACAGTGCAGTACAGTACAGTACAGTACAGTACAGTACAGTACAGTACAGTACAGTACAGTACAGTGATTCCCAACCTCACAGATCGTCAGGTTTGCCGTGGAAAATTATCCAGTTTCACTTAATTGCACTGAAAACTATTGTTTATGTATTGCATATAATTTGCCGCCGCTAGGGGGCAGCAGATGGCTATAAGAAGTAAAGAAAAATAAGAAGATCTTTGTGAGTGTCTTTCTTCAATTCCTGCCAGTATAACAGCGGGGGTTTTTTTTTTTAACTAAACAGGCTGAGGTTTTCAGTCATATATGAGGTTAAAGGTCAGTTAAACTAGAAGATTATTATATTTCATTACATATATTTTTGTGAGATGTTTGTTTGGTTGTGCACCGTGGGTTTTTTCCTGATGATATATATGGTACACCACAGTACTCTATTTTAATTAGATGTACTCTACTCTGTTGATAATGATAAGCCAATCTAATCATACAATGATTGTCAGGTACACACACACACACACACACACTCACTCAAATGATTGTGTGACGTGTGTATTTACAGTAACTTATTATTGGGACGATGTTTTGATAAAAATACTAGTATCTTAAATACACAGAGACGGTGGTTTTGCAGCAGTTGTCGCAGCTCTGCGCTCTGATTGGCTGAAGGTTTGCATTAGTTATCGGCTGCAGTGTTTGTTTGAATGATACCCAAATGACTGGCAGTCTGTCGGTGTCCTGCCCACGCTCATAAATGACCCGCTGCGTTATGACCAAGGACAAGTGGGCGGCTAATGCTAATGCTAATGTGGTAAAATAATTAATGATAAGTGCATGAAGTAATTCAGAGACAGCACATTAGGAAAACATAAAGTGATATTTTTAAATTTTTTAGTGATTATTTTTTGAAGGGGGCATAAAATAAAGAAAAAAAACTAAGATTAAAGATTAGCCTCGATGTAGTTTATATGGTATAAAAAATATTAGCATGGATTATTGCCCCAACATATTTGTGTGATTTCCCTGGGAATGTTGCAAAAAGTCATGCAACACATTTTGCCGAACCACTGATTTAAAACCACCGTGCAGCCGCAGATCAATGTGAGCTGTGGAAAAATACACGATTTCACCTGATTGGTCTGAAAATTCTGTTTTCGTTTTATTGCAAAATATTCATCTTCGATCGTCTATAACAGTGACGGGGAAATAAAATTAAATATTCCTCCAATAGGTGGCAGCAGATGGCTATGAAAACTAAAAACAGAGACTCTGAGCTGTTGAGATGGCTATAAAAACTAAAAACAAAGACTCAGAACTGTGTAAGATCTTTCTTCATTTCCTGTGAGTTGATCATTGTTGTGTTCAACTAAACAGGCACAGGTTTCACACTGAGTTTGTGAATTGTGATTCATTTTGAATATTTATATTTTGATTTTTTTTTTCACATTCTGGTATTCCCCATTGTAAAATCTGTGCTGTTGCACAGATTTTGATGAAATAATATTTTGAGTCAGAACTTGGCGATCATTGTAAGACTGGTCCAGGTGCTCTGATTGGCCCGTGACTGTGTCGTGACCAGACTCGAGACAGGTAGAAGGTCAGGTCAGAAGGTTAAGATCTTGTAATCGTCGTCGGATCTCTCGGCAGTTTGAAGGCCCCACCTCTACTTAAGTTAGTGTCGTGTTGCACATTTGTTTGTTTTTTTATCGCCTTAATTTGCAAGGCATATTTCTGCCCCTGTGTCCTGAGGACATTCAAACTCTGAGCAGAGTGAGAGAGTGTGGTGAAGGACGGCTCAGCGGAGGAGACCATGGTGGACGACTGACTCACGATACTGTCAGTAAAGTTTCACTGTAACGTTGAACTGAGACGCGGGACAAGATGAACAAGAAACGGTACTTTCTCCAGGCACCGGAGGTCAAAGACTATTTAGTCAAAGGAGAGCGATTCACCAAGTGGTCAGAGGTGAGTACTGCTCATTCTCCACTGTCCATACCTTTATACTTGACATTACTGTCATGGTGTACTCACTAAACCTGTACCAGTAATATTGTACTAATTATCACATCATGATAAAATATTTGAATCTCGCTAATCATCAAATACATGTCAACATATATGTCAACATGTCTCCATTAAAGGACTCCACAAAAACTGCTCCTGTCACCATGAAGATGGATCCCAAAGGGTTCTACGTCTATTGGACCAACCAAAGCAAGGTAAATGCAAATATATATATATTTTAACATATATGTATGCATATATTTATATATATATACATATATTTGTGTATGTTTTACATATATACATATATTTAATGCATGTATATACATATCAATATACATAAATATATATATATTTATATATGTATAGAATATATATAGTCAGTCAATAGGACTACCCCTCCAATCACATACACACATCAGGCAATTAACACCTACTGCTTCAAAATGCCATTGAAGTTTTTTTTAAAAATATATATATTTGTGTATTAAATATATATAATATTAAAAGAGAAAACGCACCCGTCATTTAGTAGCTCTTTGCCCTCTAGGGGGCCCCGCCCATCACTTTGGTAACGTTAACAACCAAATTCACATGTTCCGTTCAAACTTCAGATCAGAAAAACAGGTTTCTGCCGAGCTCGGCCTTGTGGGTCGTTAGGCGACGCAAGACTCCAGTCGGAACTTAGTGAGTTTCTCGGTCGTTGCTCGGTTTTAAACGTCACGTCTTCATTTGGTGTCAGGTGGAGTTGACACAGAGTTGAAAGAATCTAGTTTTCAAACTCAACTATGTTGTACTGTAGTCTACTGTACTACACTGTACTACACTGTACTACACTGTACTACACTGTACTCTACTGTACTACACTGTACAACTACTACTCTCTACTGTATATGTAGTAGTAGTACTACTCTCTACTGTATTATACTGTCTCCAGTACTTCCGTCCTCAGCTCGTTAGTCGATGAATAATTACGGGTGTTATTTTCAGTCGTGAGACAATGATTTGCATCGACGCCGTGTCTCATTAGGATTCTCCGTTAGACTCGTGCGATTCTACAAATTGTTCTGGACCTTCTGGTCCCAGCGGCCGCTGCAGGTTATTGATCGGTTCCGTTGTGGGCAGTAAAACCATCCTGCACGGAGAGAAGGTGGACGGAGAGAGAAACTGCTCACTGCGCTGGCCTCATGTTGGTCTGAAATGACAAAAAGCGTCGTCTCAGCTGTGCTTAGTGTTTTCTTTTCACACATGCAGAGTGCGTTCATTGCCAAAGACCGACTCGTCGCTCACTGCCCACATTTTGGACCGCTGCCTGCATGTTGAACTCACTACTGTTAACTGTTGATTCCAGGAAACAACATTCCTGGACGTGGCAACCGTCAGAGACACTCGGACGGGCAAATACGCAAAACTGCCCAAAGTGAGTACAGCCTGATGGTGATGTAGTAAATACTCTGATTTGTAGGATTAGTGAGTACCGTGTGTGTGTGTGTGTGTGTGTGTGTGTGTGTGTGTGTGTCATGCAAATACTGGACCAGGACCTGGTCATTAGTTGGAGGATTTGCATTGCAAACACAATGTCAGAGGTCATACGTGTGCAGACTCCTGTCCCACTGTGAGGACATGGCTCCGCCCACTTTGTCCTAGAGGGGAGGCTAGGATAAGGGGGCTAGGTCAGGGGTCCGTAACCGTTAGCAACGGTATGGTGGAGCCATAGTAGCCTTGCAAGCAGAGAGTCCTGGTTTCCATACCCAGAAGAACCACATACGTGCTGCCTCCAGGGGGCAGTATATCTGCTGTTAACCCAGTGCTTCTCAAATAGTGGGGCGGGGGTCGTCAGGGGGTTCCAATGGAATATAGCACATAAGTGTACCACTAGGTGGCAACAACACCCCGCAAAAAATATTTTGAACATTTAAATGAGAGTAGTTTGAAGTTTTACATAATAACTTAATAAAAGTACATAATAATAAAAAACAAAATTTTTTGCTATTAGCAAGCAAGCTGATTTTTTGTAGTTAAATCTCAGCACCTACTGTACTGTGGTCTAGCAGCCACTAGGTGCACACTCCTGGGCTAGGGCGTATATTATGTCTATGTAAAGTGCTTACAAAACACAAAAACCAGTGTGTGTGTGTGTGTGTGTGTGTGTGTGTGTGTAAGTTTGCATGTCCTTCTCACATTTGCCTGAGCAGTCTGCAATGGGATGTAAATATGAAATAAATAAACAAACAGATACATTATAAAATGTACTCCAGCTCCGTTCTTGTCATGTATTTCTGGTAATATCACAAACAACAATAGTACTTTTTGGGAAAGTACTTTTCACATTATCTATAAAACTACCCACATTTTTAATGTGTAGCATTAATGTGAACACAGGGAGACCCCGACCCCCTGTTTGACATCTATAAATCTATACAAGCTATAATTGACAACACGTCAATTTTAACAGTTTAGAAACAAAATGTTTGTTTTTTTTTCCGTAACGTGATTGTCACTGACAACCTTTGTCGACATTTTTTTTTTTGTCGTACAGCACTCTAAGGTCCGCAATGTGTTCAACATGGACTTCCCCGACAGCAACCATCTGGCCAAAACCCTGACCATCGTTTCAGGGCCGGACATGGTCAACCTGACTTACCACAACTTCTTTGCCTCCAAGGAGAAAGTGACGCAGGTAATAAATGTCTTCTCCTATTTTTTTTATTTTTTTTCACAAAATCTTATTTTTTTATGTGATTTTTGGCCAAATGTTGCAATTAGTTTGATCAAAGTATTTTTCCAACATTTTTAAAAATCTTTTTTTTTTTTTAAATTTACATCTTAATTTTTCATGTCATTTTTTTGTCAAATGCTGAAAGGTTTGGATGAATTTTTTTGTCAATTTTATTTTCAAAATTTTAACTTTTCTACATGTTTTTTAAATTAAATCAGAGCATTTTGAGAACATTTTTAGAAAAACAATTTTTGGGATTTTTTTAAATCAAAATCTTAATTATTCATTTTTGGTCAAATGCTGAAAAATTTGGATGAAAATCTTTGCCAAAACGTCTGATTGTTGAAACTCATCCACAGACAGTTAGTCGCTGCACACTGAGACTTTGCT